TAAGAGATAGGCACTTGGGCCGCTTTATGACCTCAGAAACAAAATTATCAAATGTGAAATTAACACACAAATGGCCCATACTCTGGTAGAAATACTTCTTGATAACCTTTTTCTTAGATAAGCTAACTTCAGTAGTTTCTTAGAACACTTATCCATATTGCAGACACTTTGAACGAAGTAAAATAACATGGATCAAACTTTCATTCATGCACCTTCAGTCGTTTAAAAAAGACTTGTCCCCATTTTATGCAGTATGCACGAAGTTGAAAAGCACGGAAAAAGGGCCAGAACTCTGTCAAATATGAATTTAAGACACCAAGTTTCGAACTCAGTTGAGATCCTCACCATTAACATGAGTGTATAACAATTCATTTCTCAGACTTAAACAGCTCTGGAGAACATTTGTCCCCTTTGAGAATGGGACTGACAGAAGAACCTACGAACTCCGCTCCTTTATCCCCCGCTCCACTTTTTGGTGGGGAGTAATAATGTAAAAGTAATAATGATATTCACCGATTAGCACCAATAGTCAAGCTACCAAAAATGGTCTTTGGCTGGATATCCAGGGTGAAAACAGGATCTTGACACAATCACTGATCTTGATGTCATGTGAGATACCCACGTATTGAGTCAAGTAACATTCTGGAAAGTTTCATACCATGCTAGATTAGTATATAGCTGTTGTAATGTAGTGTAAGATTCCAGATTACTTTTGATTCAAAAATGATCTAAAAATAGTAATTTCCACAAACACTGCTAACATTAGATATTAATACATTAAGTTGACCTCGTTACATAAGCATGTTAACCCAGAAATCTGTAGGTAAAAGAATTTAGTGTGAAACCAACAAACAACCAACAAATGGTATATAATGAACAATTGTTTTACCAAATTGGTAGTACAAAATAGAAATAGACAGTACAATATTTAATGCCACTATATAAAGTTGACAGCAGTGGTCAGTGTCAAATACAAAAACAGTGTTGACAGTAAAAGATCAGTGATATTGATATATTCACCCAACAGTGCAAGTTGTCGAGATCCCGAGCCAGGTCAAGCCTGAGAATCCAGGGTGATAAGTGATCTCCACACAAATGCTGGTCTTGAAGTAATGTCAGATGATGTCCACTTCAATACCGCAAACACCTTCTAGAATATTCTCTAACGCTCAACATCTTCCCAAACTGTTCTGGAAGTTTACACTTCACATTAGCATATAAATATAATAACTACCTCACCACTGCTTACATTAAATAGTACTACATTCCATACGACTAGTCATTGTCCAAATACAATACAATGACCTAAGGAATCGCAACAGAAACAATGTAATATGGATACAGCAAATGTGTAACAATAAATTGCACTGCTATATAACATTAGGCACAGGTATCTTCCATTCAAGTCCCCCATTCCATCACCCAAGATGTGTCTCACTCAAACCAGACATCCTGTACCTACATGTAACTAGTTTCAAGTCTCAGGTATGTCGATGATCTGATATAGTTAAATAATGGTCAAATAGCCAATTGCCTTCCAATGAATACCCACCTGATTACTCACATCATATATAACAAATATCAGACCAGTCAAACCGCTTTATGTGTTTCATATTTAGATCTTAGTCTGAAGATTCAGATTGAGAAACTATTCTCCACAAGGTAATGGTGGTGACCTCAATTTTCAAATTGTCAATTAATCTTCCTTTTATGTCAAGCAATATGACAGCAGATCCAGCCTTTGGTGTCTAAACTTCACAACGTGTTAGGTACAACTGGGCATGCTCTTTCTGCAAAGAGCGTCATATGATTATTACTTCATGATCATTGTATCCCAATTGCGTAAGTCGATGCTCATGATGTCATTTACTGGATTTTCTTGTCCAGACTCGATAATTTACAGACCGTATACTTTTCTCTCACAAGGGATACATATTATCATTCAAGTCTTCAAAGGATCTTTTTACCAATGTCAATGCTCGTATAATTCTCGATAATTTTTTAATAGAAATATAAATATTTGATGAATTTTAAATTTTGCATTGTTTTAAATTTTGTGTGATGGTATTGATTATTGAAGGGGGTTAAAGTAGTGTAAAATTATTGTCCCCCTGACAGTGGCATATTAGTCCATCTATATTTAAGTGTATAATGTCAATTTGTATTTTAATGTATTGATTGTGCTACTATTTTTTTTAACATTGGACATCATAACATACAACCACTGGTGACAAAAGTGATGGCATAAATCCTGCCGGGAATCATGCAGGAAGCAAAAGCACTGTAAGTCCCTGTGATTCCCAGTTAGGTGGTCTAGCTTTGGTTGCTAGTGGTCTTTAGCCTGGTTTTAATATATATGAATTAATTTACTGAAATATTCTTTGTTTCAATATTGCTTAGGTTTCATTTATATATAAACTGTGATATTAACCTCACTGTTTTACTTTCCTTCGTCAACAGGGGTCTAATGATAATAACTTACTTGTTCTCAACGCGATATGGCTGCAATATTGCAGATGCGATGTAACATTTTTAAACTCAATCAATCAAAGACCAGGGTGACACCGACAACGCAACGGTGATTAAATATCTCGTCTGTGTATTCACTTAAACATATCAAAACAAGAAGCAGAATACCTCGCCAGTGTGTTCACCACAACCCCAGGTTGAGTAACATACCTCGCCTGTGTGTTCACAACAATCCCAGGTAGAGTAACATACCTCGCCTGTGTCTTCACCACAACCCCATGTAGAGTAACATACCTCGCCAGTGTGTTCACAACAACCCCAGGTAGAGTAACATACCTCCCCTGTGTGTTCACCACAACCACAGGTAGAGTAACATACCTTGCCTGTGTGTTCACCACAACCCCAGTTAGAGTAACATACCTCGCCAGTGTGTTCACCCTAAACCAGGTAGAGTAACATACCTAGGCTGTGTGTTCACCAAAGCCCGAGGAAAAGTAACATACGTCGCCTGTGTGTTCAACACAACCCCAAATAGAGTTACGTACCTGGCCAGTGTCTCCACAAACCAGGTAGAGTAACATACCTCGCCTGTGTGTTCACCACAACCCAAGTTAGAGTAACATACCTTGACAGTGTGTTCACCACAACCCCAGGTAGAGTAACATACCTCGTATGTGTGTTCACCACAGCCCCAGGTAGATTAAGAAACCTCGGCAGTGTGTTCACCAAAGCCCGAGGTTGAGTAACATACCTCGTATGTGTGTTCACCACAACCCCAGGTAGATTAAGAAACCTCAGCAGTGTGTTCACCAAAGCCCGAGGTTGAGTATCATACCTCGCCTGTGTGTTCACCACAACCCCAGGAAGATTAAAATACCTCGCCTGTGTGTTCACCGAAACCCCAGGAAGATTAACATACCTCGCCAGTGTGTTCTCCACAACCCCAGGTAGAGAAACATATCTCGCCTGTATGTTCACCACAGCTCCAGGTAGAGTAACATACATCGCCTGTGTGTTCACCACAACCCCAGGAAGATTAACATACCTCGCCTGTGTGTTCACCACAACCCCAGTCAGTTACACTTACATACCTCGCCTGTGTGTTCACTAAAACCCCAGGTAGAGTAACATACCTCGCCTGTATGTTCACCATAAACCAGGAAGAGTAACATACCTAGCCTGTGTGTTCACCAAAGCCCGAGGAAAAGTAACATACGTCGCCTGTGTGTTCAACACAACCCCAAAAAGAGTTACATACCTGGCCAGTGTCTTCACAAACCAGGTAGAGTAACATACCTCAACAGTGTGTTCACCACAGCCCAAGGACGATTAACATACCTCGCCAGTGTGTTCACCACAACCCCAGGAAGATTAACATACCTCGCCTGTGTGTTCATCACAACCCCAGGTAGAGTAACATACCTCGCCAGTGTGTTCACCACAACCCCAGTCAGTTACACTTACATACCTCGCCTGTGTGTTCACTAAAACCCCAGGTAGAGTAACATACCTCGCCTGTGTGTAGACCACAACCCCAGGTAGAGTAACATACCTCGCCTGTGTGTTCACTAAAACCCAAGGTAGTGTAACATACCCTACCTGTCTGTTCAGCAAGACCCCAGGTTGAGTAACATACCTCGCCAATCTGTTCACCACAACCCCAGGAAGAACAACATACCTCCCTGTGTGTTCACCACAACAGCAGGTAGACTTACCTACCTCGCCTGTTCGTTCACCACAACCTCAGGTATAGCTACTTACATCGCCAGTGTTTTTTACCATAAGACCAGGTAGCGTAACATACTTCTCTGTGTTTTCACCACAACCCCAGGTAAAGTAACATACCTCGCCTGTGTGGTCACCACAACCACAGGTAGAGTAATATACCTCGCCAGTTTGTTCACCACAAACAAAGTAGAGTAACATACCTCCCTGTGTGTTCACCACAACCCCAGGTAAAGAAACCTACCTCGCCTGTGTGTTCACTAAAACCCAAGTTATAGTAACATTACTCGCCTGTTTGTTTACCACAACACCAGGTAGAGTAACATATCTCGCCAGTGTGTTCATCGCAACCCCAGGTAGAGAAACATACCTCGCCTGTGTGTTCACTGCAACCCAAGTTAGAGTTTTATATACCTCGCCTTTTTGTCCTTCAGAAAGACACTAGAAGTAACATACGTCGCTTATGTGTACACCACAATATAACGAGGAATAACATACCTCACCTCTGTGTCCAGCACAAACCAACAACACCAACTCACTTCTTCCAGTGTAGATATGGGTCCCCACATCATCACGCTGCCCCTGCCGAATCTGTCCACCTGGGGGACACAGGCGTCGGCAAAACGTTCATGACGTCGTCTGTACACCAGCATTCTTCCATCGCGACGTTCCAACTGAAATCTCGATTCATCGCTGCACCAGATTCGACGCCAATTCACCAAATTATCTTTCTCAATCCGGGTATTTGCCTAGCGGTAGTGGTCGCTGTAGCTGTTCGCTGACGCAGGTGATGTACCCGGATGTACCTATCTTGCGCCGCAGTGGTGACTATAGGACGTCCACTTCTAGGTCCATCTTCCACCGAGTTCTGCTGCCGATATCTCTCCCAGAGATGAGAAATCGTGCTTTGATGAACATTCATTCGACGGGCAACTGTAAGTTCAGATTGTTCTGCTTCCAGGAGACCTATGGCGATGTGGCGATTGGCGCGGCTCAGCCTTGGCATTTTGCAGTCTTCACAAACTTCAAAATAAAGTGAATGAAAAAAGACGGAGATCGATCTTTTAAACCCATCCACGATACGACGTGATCCCCGAGTTTCCCGCGCATTGCACGTGCAGTACGTGTTCTGTGACATTAAATGCGTCTATCGAAAATCATGCTTTAACATACGGGTTTTTCATGCGGGATGCGTTTGGATATGACGTTTGAAGACACAAACACCAGAGAAATCATAAACAAAACAAATATTTTTGAAAAACCCACCCTGTACCAATACATTGCTGCATCAAATTACCATTTTCGTTATGCGTTTCTTTTTTGAGAGAGTATACTTCGAGTGTTTGTCTGCAACAACACCACGGGCAATAACATACTTAGTGTGTGCGTTCAGCAGAACCCCACGAGGTGTAACATGCCTCGCCTGTGTGCCCACAGCAACCTCACGAGGAGTAACATACCTCGCCGTTATGTCCACCACAAAAACTGAAATATAAATACTGTTCAAAGCGGTTTGAAGCCAAACTCATTCACTTATTCAGAGCCATGGCGGTCCCGGAGGCTGCACATTTGACAGTATGTATTCTGAACAATTAATTTGAAATGATAAGGAATCTAAGTAATAAATCTTCAACCTGAGTAATATTTGTTACCCCTATCAAGATCTGTGACCCATTTGCTCTTACCTATGTACCTTTGTGCAATATTCCAGTTACATGACGGATAAACGTCTGAAAAGTGCATCACGATGAACTTTCCTTCCACATCAAGTTGATAAATATTTTTCAAACCAAACAAAACTATGACGAACTCTCTCACTATAATATCTAAAAAAAGAACTTCGAACGTTTCGATGAATTGGTGCACTAAGTTACATGCGCCAAGAAAGCACTCATACAGCATTTTGGAACGAAGGGGTGCAAAATGAATTCAAATAATCTGCGAACAACACCATCTTTAAGATCCACCTGCCGTCAGGTTGGTATTTAGAGCTTGATTGACTTTTTAAAAAGACATGGGAGACGAGAGGCATTTTATTTTGATCATTTGATTTTCTTTCTTATCGAACTATTTAAGGCATGTGTGTACAATTGCTGTCGTAGGGGGCGATTCACGTGTATCATGCGTGTTCCGTGTGTGGAGTGTTTCAGGAAATAAAGAAAGTAGGAACACACATATTAGCGATTTTTCTATTTCATGTAACTTGGAGGCAGTAGAATAATGTAAGGTGGGATGTTTTGTAGTCAGGCGGGAGTGGATGAAAATCTATTAATTAATTTTGTATTGCCTAAAGTAGCGAATATGGTGCCGTGTAAAAAAACAGTACAATCTCAGTTTAGCCCCTATGTATCAAATTGGTCTTTGAGAGTTTTGTTTTAAAGAATTTTCTAGCGGTGTAAAAATATTGCCTCATGGAGAAACTCACTGGCCTGTGAATATTTCAGATCTTTAACTGACAGTGTCGCCGGGAATAGCTGCAATACTGCTGATGCTCCTTCAAATAATAATTACTCACTTACTGATATTTTGTTTCCAGCTTGCGGACACTTTAATGTTCTCACTATCATTGGACATTCATGCAGAGAATTTCTTGTGTTAAATTATATTAAGCATGTTGACGCTTTCAATTACAATTACGTATGAAACCGGCACGTTAATTTTCAAACACACAACTGGTGCCAAATCGATAGACAACTGATTTATACATATGTATTAGTCATCTAAATGCGATTGATCTGCCTTACTTGCCTACGTTTATTTTGCACAATATGTAACAGGTTGCGATTTAATGAAATCATGTTTTGAGGGATATTTTACATGTTTTATAACAGTATGTATTCTGAACCATTAATTTGAAATGGTCAGGAATATAAGTAATTAATCTGGAACCTGAGTAATATTTGTTACACCTATCAAGATCTGTGACCCATTTTCGCTTACCTATGTACCATGTGTAAGTGTACATTCCAAAAGACAACCGTTTGAAAGCATTCTTGTCGTCATGGCATAATCTCAAAATAGAGTATCTTCATCTAGTATTTGTCATTCGATTGTATCTGACGGGTGATACAGAACTAAGAATTACAAACTAGTTTCCGAATCATAATGTCGTGATTGTGTGTTTTAGCAAAATTGGTAAACATCGAAATTTATTTGTTTGTTTGTTTGTTGTTTAACGCCTCGCTGAGCAATATTCCAGCTACACGACGGATAAACGTCTGAAACGTGCATCACGATGAACTTTCCTTCCACATCAAGTTGATATATATCAGCAATCGCTACTTTCAAACCAAACAAAACTTTGACATACTCACTCACTCACTCACTATAACATTTAAAAAAGGTACTTCGAACGTTTCGATAAATTGGTGCACACAGTTACATGTGCCAAGAAAGCACTGATACAGCTTTTTGGAAAGAAGGCGTGCAAAATGAATTCAAATAATCTGCGACCAACACCATCGTCAAACACACATCTGACCGTAGATCGATAGACAACACATTGTTTAATGTCCCTTACTTACCGATCGACAATTTATGTCTTGAGTTGGAGAACAAGCCATCAAAAGCGAGCGGAATTAGAGTCCACCCGCTTACAGAATCGAACAAGTCACCTGTTGGCTGACCTTCTTCTTCTTCTTCCCGAGACAAGTGTGTTAACTGACTATAGCCGTCCATAGGTTTGAAATCGCATGGATGAACACATAACAATTAGTAGTGTTGTTAGCTACTTCTCTTTCACGCTTTTATTGAAATAAAATGATACTTTCAATAGAGCCAATGAATTAGTTTCTCGCCATTATGTCCACCACTAAAAGTGAAATATAAATACTGTTCAAAGCGGTGTTAAGCCAAACTCACTCACTTATTCATAGCCATGGCGGTCCCGGAGGCTTGGATTGGGGTACATTAGCAATATAAACATGCCTAACATGTGGAGGCCCCAATAAATTGGTATTAAGAGTTTGATTGACTTTTTAAAAAAGACATAGGAGACGAGAGGCATATTATTATGAACATTTGATTTTCTTTCTTATCGATCTATTTAAGGCATGTGTGTACAATTGCTGTCGTAGGGGCGATTCACGTGCATCATGCGTGTTAAGTGTGTTGAGTGTTTCAAGAACTAAAGAAAGTAGGAACACACATATTAGCGATTTTTCTATTTCAAGATACTTGGAGGCAGTAGAATAATGTAAGCTGGGATGTTTTGTAGTCAGGCGGCTGTGGATGAAAGTCTATTAATTAATTTTGTATTGCCTAAAGTAGCGAATATGGTGCCGTGTAAAAAACCCGGACAATCTCAGTTTAGCCTGTATGCAACAAATTGGTCCTTAGAATTTTGTTTTAAAGATTTTTCTAGCCGTTTAAAAATATTACCTCATGGATAACTCATTGGCCTGTAAATATATCAGATCTTTGACAGTGTAGCCGCGAATAGCTGCTTCCAGCAATATTTACTCACTTACTGATATTTTGTTCCCAGTTTGCGGACACTTTAATGATGTCAGGTTTAAGAACCAGGGTGCCGTTCTACAAAGCGATCTTAGCGCTAAGGTGATCGTAGCCCATACCTTAAAATAGATCTACGACAGTCGGAACGATAGTGTTGTTTTGTACAACAGTATCCTGGACATCAAAATCCTCGCCAAAACCATCAGACAATGTTCGTATATAGTTGTGCTGTAGATCGGTAGTCATTGGTGTATGTATCATGTAGGCTATGAATGTATCCATTGGGTGAGGTGAGGTGAAATGGGATTTACCATCTCGTTCAAGATTATTGCACCTGTATGTGAATGTGGCAGCTCGTTCTTGTGCGGAATAATGCCGAGTTTGTAGTGCTATCCCACTGAGTATACTGACTCCAAGTCGACCGGTCCATGTTTTAGCCCCAGACAGGGTAGCATCAAGTACCACTTTTTATGTATGACGCAGCCGGGGATGGAACCCACGACTTTCGCTTTAGGTGCAGACGCTGTACCACTGGACCATGGAGGCGGTTGTGTGTGAAAAGGCTTCATTTTGAGGTATAAAATGGAATACCCAATGATCCGCCAAACATGCTTTAAATTCACGACAGAATAAGTATTATTAGTATACGTGTCCACAATTTAAAATCCAAGAAGGTCAGGAGACGTATGATATTTTATTAATTCCTTGTAAATTCAGAAAGCAGGTTGCAGAACAGAAACAGAATGCAAATAGACGTTGGCCCTCCAAGATAGAAACGTATTTAAAGAATACTGTATATAAGCTGCTGCAGATAACATTTTGATTTTCCCCCAGAAATTAATTTGCAAATATCAGCATTTGCACGGAAGCATTTTTAGCTTTGTCGATCCCTCTCTAGTCAATGATGAATGTACAACCATATCTTCAATCCGTTAACAGAATATTATTCTTTATATTCTGTCTGACCAAACCTGCAAGACATGAAAGGAAATGAATATTTTTCGCAAGATACGAAAGAATCGTCCAAAAATTCAGAGATCGACTAGTACCACAAAAGCAAGATTGATCTCATATGGTTACACCAACACCTCTTGTCCATTCCTCTCAGCAACGTAGAATTTGTTACGATGCTTCTGCACATACCAATGTCTGATAATTTAGAAAAACAACAACAGCTACATGATCACTGAATGCCAATAGTGATTGCTGCTTACAGTTTGGGTGTAAATATGCAGTCTGTGAAGTTATTTTTGTTGACGTATTTGATTATAGGAATTGACTTTTTTTGCTGTTGTTTAGCTATAAACCGGCAAACACACTTTGCGTAAATCCGCAAGCCGAATGTCAACTGTATGCATACTGACTTTCACGTTTATACATCCATAAACGCAAAACATATCAAAGTTAATTCTTTGAACTGACGTGACATTCCGGAAGTTTACGTAAGGACAATCTTTCAGAGGTATAACCCGGTTGGAGATAAAAGGCATGCTTTCACTGGAGTTTTATACGGACATTTAGAAAAAAACAACCTTTAAGATAGAAAATACG